CTTCACTGAATCAACCAGGTGTTCCCTGTGCATGCACGCCAAACGCCTGGTTATTATTGTTATATTTATTGAAGTTTAAAAGAAATAGAAGGAAATGGTAATGAAGTTTAAAAGAAATAGTATGGCTTACTAAACTGAGTTTAATAAAAACTCAAACCCTAAGATTACAGAAAAGAGCAAAACCCAAACAAACTTCAAAATGAAGAAGTCAAAATCAAACAATTTTTGGTATACCCAAATCAATAATACATTTCCATTAGTTACCTTTCTTTTACTGGGTTCAGCCTTTTTCATAAACAAGGCATTGATAAGAGCTAAGGCATTCAACTGGATTTCTTGGTTACTATAAAGAAGAAATCAAAAGGTCAACAATAACAAAAAAACAAGGGAGAAAAAAATTTATGAAATAAAACCCATGCTCCAGAAGACACAATTTAATTATTGTGATATTGCAAACTTTTTATTGATGGTTGTGTAATTTTAGTAATTAAAAGTCTTGAGGCAGCCCAACCACTAATAGGCAGCCCAACCACTAATAGGCAGCCCAACCACTAATAGGCAGCCCAACTACTAATAGGCAGCCCAACTACTAATAGGGAGCCCAACCACTAATAGGCAGCCCAACTACTAATAGGCAGCCCAACCACTAATAGGCAGCCCAACCACTAATAGGCAGCCCAACCACTAATAATATTTAAAATTATCATCATATTATTTCAATGCAGACCTACCTATTGTGTATATGCTTGATAAGACTTTCAAACTTTATTTCTTTTTCAGCAATTGGATAAAGATTGTAACTAAACAGAAAAAAAAATTACAAATATTAAGCTTTTTCTTGGACACTGAATAAATGTACAAAGTAACTAAAGACTATTTTACTATTGTCATGATATTCATTGCCACGACAGTGAATTCTGAAGCAAGAGAAGCAAGGCAGAGTACCCAGTTCAGCACATTTGAACATTTCTGCATGCGTACTGTTGATAATGATGATAATGGTGATGATGATGATAGACTTGATCCAAGTCTTGCTTGTTAATTATTTCTATTTATTGGGATTCCTGTGATGTGATTCAAATTTTGGCTTCCAATCCCAATGCTTTCTGAGGAACAAGACACACCTTGCTACCTGGAGAGCTTGGAAACCAAACGTTTAAACACAGGAATCCCAAGAAAGGGAAATAATTAATGAACAAGTCTATGATAATGATGATTATACCTGTTTGA